ACAGTACTTGCTAGGTAGGGGGAGAGAAGAAAGATGATTGCTAAGGATTCTGCAGAGATTTCACTTGAGTCACTTTCTTCTAGTGAGAAGAGAGGAGTGTTGGACTGAGCTGTAGGACTGTGCTGGGCAACCCCGGGACTTTCACCCCGAGTGTTGCTATTCAGAGGGTTTTTAGGTCTGAAAAAACCCCAGGTCTTCTTTTCTTGCATTTCTGCTGGAAGCTTTACAGCTAATCTAGTTTGAGATAGTACCTGTAAGGCTGGGAATGTTTGGTTAATTATCATAACCACACTAACTGCTCTTTCAAAGTAATTGTTCCCGTTACTTTTCTTCTCAAGAGGGGAAGAGTCAAAAAGCCTTGTCTGACTTTGGGTCTCAGCAGTGACTCCTACACAGTGAGAGTGTAGCCAAGCCAAGTTTAAACCAACAAGCTCAATAGTTGATAAAATTATTCAATGAAAAATTAATTGCAATTTGCAAAATGTGCCTGGGAAGCCAGGTAAATTAGCTTGTGGGGAGCTTCTGCTATTAGGAGAGAAGAGCTCATATGGATGTGCCAGTAGCACAGAGCTGATGTTGGTGTGAATCGTGGTTGTATTCTTGGTCAGTTGATACAAGGTGTTTGCTCTCTTTGCTACCAATGCATAACACTCTATTCTCATGGAAATATTTGGCTGTTCTGGCATTACTTGAGGCGTCTGTCCCCATAATTAGTCCCTGGTCCATAGGAAAAGTGTCCTCTGTGTCATGTAGGGATATGTGAGGGTGATGACATTCTTCATTCTCTCTCAGTAGTGTAGGTGCAACTTGCATAAGACGTTGGCCGCTCCCTGCAGTGTGCTAATTTGGTATCACAGAATGGTGGATGCTGGAAGGGGCCTCCAGAGGTCACCTTGTCCAACTCCCATGCTCAGGCAGGGCCACGTCCAGATGGCTTTTGAATATCTCCAGGGGTGGAGATTTCACAGCCTCTTGGGGCAACCTGTGCCAGTGCTCATTCACCCTCACAGTGAAAAAGCATTTCCTCATGTTCAGAGGGAACCTCCTGTGTGTCAGTTTGTACCCACTGCCTCTGGTCCTGTCACTGGGTACCACTGAAAAGAGCCTGGCTTCGTCCTCTGTGTATCTTCCTTCAGGTATTTCTATACATTGATGAGGTCCACCGGAGCCTTCTCCAGGCTCCCTCAGTTCCAGCTCAGGCTTTCCTCACAGGAGAGATGCTCCAGTCCTTCAGTCATCGTAGTGATCCTTTACTGGAGTCTCTGCAGTATGACTATGTCTGTCTCATACTGGGGAACCCAGCACTGGACACAGCACTCCAGGTGTGCCCTCACCAGTGCTGAGTCAAGGGGAAGGTTCACCTCCCTCAATCTGCTGGCAGTGCTTTGCCTAATGCAGCCCAGGGTACTGCTAGCCTTCTTTGCAGCAAGGGCACATTGTTGGCTCATGCACAACTTGGTGTCCACCAGGACTCCCAGGTCATTTTCTGCCAAGCTGTGTTCCAGCTGGGTGATATCTTTGTGACATGCTTGGGTGTCGATGGGGAACTCAAGACTGCATTGAGAACTTGAGGCATTCCAGTTGCTGGTTAAGCAGTTTTTGTGTATGTGCTGGAGATGATCAGTGATATTTTGAATGAAATGTGCATGGTATTCCTGGATATGTTTTGGAATGCCTACAAGATGTGCATTAGCATCTGGTAATTTAATACCCAGTAAGGACTAAAATATATTCTTTGGAAGAAAAACTCTAATGGGAAGAGAAAACTAAAATGCTTTTGTTATAATCAGAAATCAAACTGACTTAAGAACATAAATTACAGATAAACTTTCATTAAGATGGTTTTTGTCCTCACAATTCACAATGGAGAATAACTTTCCCAGGCACATCAGCACTTTTTTACCTTTGATCGGCAAGGGGCTTGGGTGACCAGTTGCCCCTGCCAGTTTTTCTTTTTCTTCTCAAATTCATCAACTTTGCCAATAGGTAAGTCCTTTCAAGTCCCAGGAAGAGTTAAGAACCTGTAGAGTTTTGAATCTTGCTACCAGCCTTAATGAAGCTGCATAATTGACAAAGTTTGTCATTTTTTTTCGTTGATCTTGCTGACGAATTCATGTTGATCGCCTAGATTTTTATATTACCAGATCAATGAATGCCCACATCCATTATTTCTATATGGCATATAGTTCAGAAGACCAAGTAAACCAAGTCTTTCCTCTGGTGCTTTTGATCATGTACAGGTTTTAGGGTTTTTTTTATGCTTAAATTAACATTGGATAGCAATTTATTATACTTGTTTGAGTTTTCGGTAACACACCCATCCCAAACCCACAGATGCAGAAAGTATATTGTGAAGCTTTTATTACAATAATGGCTTTAATAAGGTTGCCATTTGTTTCACTTCAGTTTGCTTTTGCTGTATAAACACCAGCCATTGTAACCTGGGTGTCTGAAGACACAATATGGGTGCGATTGGACATAAATACAAGGCTGGAGGTGGTCAGTGATATTCTGGAATTCTTGAACTAATCAAATCCCTTGCAGTCTTAAGTTCAATAGCACAGGAATGTAGCACAGTACCAATTTGTTAGGTAAAGCTGGTCAAAACAGAAGCAATATTTTGAATCATCCTACAGCCAGTAGAACAAGTCCATGTTTGCTTTCACTGCAGATAGCTTGTAAGGGTCTGGTGTGGTTCCAGTTTCCCTTTATTTATGTTCATCACTATTGCTGAATCCACACTGCTTTATCTGAGCTACTCTCGATAACATGGAAGTGCCTCAACTGCACTTTCCATTTGTTGCCAGTGCTGAAAAGGGAAATTTTCTGCATATGTCGCCTCATTTAATTTCTACAGTTTAAATCTGAACAGGTCCTCAGCCAAATTCATCCATAGCTAATCTTCTGTTCTCTAACAGCCTGAGCTCACCTTTCCTCATGTCTTCTGAAATGCTGGTCGTGCCCTCTTCCCGCTGTGCTGCACTTGCTGCTTTCACCACGGTGTCCCTGCTTCTGTTTTCAGCGCAGCGCCTTTTTGATCAGTCTTCTGCTTTGTTTGGGGTGAAAGGCATGTTTTCTGGGCTCAGGCTTGTAGCAGCCATGGGTGGATGACATCAGCTCCCACGCTACATTGTGCTGATGTGAAAAGCCTGGTCCTAAATGAGCAGTGTAAAATGGGGCTGCCCATTGCTCTGAACTCACAGTCTTACTCCCCAGCCAGCCCACCAGTGGCTCAGCCCTTCCTAGGAAATTAGATCCCCTCTTCTCGGGGGGAAGAGGTTCTCCTCTTGGAGGCAGCATCCCTCCTTTGTCAGGAGGCGGCGATGGCTTCACTGTCATTGAAGCAGCATCATCTGTAATGCTGGTGGCACGCGGAACACTTCCTGGCGGTTTGCTGTCAGTATTGCTGAAAACAGCCTTGCATGTGGGTGAGCAGCCCAGGAGCAAGCTGGGTGGCACCGCTGCCTCCACCGATAGCAGCGTGTGGTGTTTGACGACGACTTTACTGGGCACTTTTGTTCCCACTAAACCAGGCATTTGGACATGGAGGCATCTTGGCAGGTGCGGTTCCTTGCTTTGTGTTTCACAGGAGGTAATTTTGAGTGGCAGAAAAGCCCATTTTGGCCTCAAAACCTGTGGTTCTACAAGCTTTTCCATCAGCTAAATATAACTTGAGAATTGCTCCTGACCCTCATGAGCGCTGGGAGATTGCTTCAAACAGAAGTGACTTGGGTGTGCAGGATGGGAGCACAGGGCTTTGCCACAGCTCCAGCATATCTATACCCTAGGTTTTTTTCCTGCTTTCATTTCTGTGTGTTAACACAGGGTTTGGTTGGTTTGTGTTTTGTCTGGCTGGGAAAAGTCTACTTTACCTAGGATAATTACTTGGGGGATTTTCTCCTCTCTTTGTTGCTCCTTATATTACAGGAGTGTGCAGCTCAGCCACAACCAGCCCAGGGCACCCCTACCTGCACAAGCTGCTGCTCCTTACACAACTGTTTCAGGTGGCATTTAGCCAGGATGAGACAAACATACTAATCAACTCCATTCTGCATATAGCTTTTGACAGCTAATGCAGTTTAAACAGTCATTGTGATACAGCCTGTAGAAGATAGGGATGAGTATGTTGTTTCTGGTGAGGACAGGCCTAGTTATACTGTTTTAGTATTATTTCTAGCAACAAAGAGTTGACTGAAGTGCATGGGAGTCTACAGAAATAGCTCACACAAAGCCTTCTGTCATCTTCAACTAGAGCTAAAATGTTAAAAATAAATTGAAATAACTAAGATCAATCCATGGGTAAGCTGTCCATCACTATATGGTAGATACATACTAAACTGAAAGATGAGGTCCTCCTCTATTATGGGGATACATTTCTCATCCCCAGTGAATCCATTGTGAGCAGGTTGATTCACAGATCTCAGGAGAGTTTGATAGATAGTCATGTTATTCTCCTATGGTAGTTAAGCTGAGCATGGTTTAACACAGATACTAGTATGTTTTACAATTTTCTGCATTTAAATTGCAACAAAATTGCAATTAAATCAACAGAACCCCCCACATACTTGAGTTTATTTTCATTATCTCTTGCTTAGATGATATCTCTGAATGTTGTGTGAAATGTCTTCTGTCCTCTTCAGCGTAGTCCTAAACTGAAGGGATTTTTTTTTTTTGTCTTACTGTGCATGTTGGTGTTTCACTGTGCCTGCAGCCTTCTGGAGAGCCAAACAGTTTTTGAAACTAGGATCAGGCGTCTAAAATGTAATATCAAGTCTGAGCTGGTTAGCTAGATGCCTCTACTGGTGAATGGAGTGGGGGAGAGGTGTGTATAGGGGAGAGTTTTCTGTTGCTAAAATTAATCAAGATGAATTCTATCCTTCCTGTCAAATCCATGGTGCTGTTAAAGTATTTTATTGGATTCAAGGGATCTCTTTATGCTCTCTGGGCTTTTGTTTCTTGTTTTTATCTTGAAAGTAACAGGGATTCTCTTCTCTTTCCAGGGTGACTGTTGGATCTGTATGGAGCTCATGTCTACCTCGTTTGATAAGTTTTACAAATATGTATATAGTGTATTAGATGATGTTATTCCAGAAGAAATCCTAGGCAAAATCACTTTAGCTGTGAGTATTTTGTTAAATCTTTTTCTGTATGTTTTTGAAGCTAATGTGAAAAATTCAGATCTCTTTCACTCACATGTGAGAAAGTTGGTTGATCTGCGTGCAGAACTGCTGCTGTTGTATTGCACCACACTTCTAATGATCCTTGAGTGTACTCTGACTTTTCCACAGCATATTGCATGATGGAAAAGCAGGTTCTGGGGTCTGTAATCAGTTCGTAAAGAGACCCCAGGACCAGCTTCCTGCTCTGTCTGCTTGAACATCAGCACCAACAGCATTGGCACCATCTGCCTCCTCAGGGTTCGCTTCATGTGCACTGGTGGTGGCACCAGTGGAAGCTGGGCACAGGTCATCTCATCCCAAGGAAGGTGCCTAAAATAAACAAGCTTGTCTCCCCTTCCTTTGTTTGTAAAGGGAACAAAGGATTGGGCATTTATAGCCAGGACGTGTGAAGCCCACCAGACTATTTGAGAGTAAGAATCTGGTCTTAGTGAGTTGCCTACCCTCTCTCTCTCGAGTCTGGGGAGAGGCTGGTGCCTCTGTGTGGGAGCTGAGTTCCCATCTCGTGGTGCCTTAGGTGGTGAAGCGAGACGAATCCCACCCAGGGTATTGGAATGCAGGCCTGCTGTACAGAGCCCACTGTCTCCCTTTAAGGAGCCCTGTAAAATTATCGTCGGCTGTGCTAAACACTAGGGCAAGGTCAGGCCCTGCAAAACAACCTTTTGGTTTTGGACTGTGGAAGAGGGGGTGTTGAAAGGTATCCTGAAATCTCTGTCCTGCTTCTGCCTGTAAAAGTCTGTCAGGTCCACTGTTTTCTGCAGAGGATGCTGGGCCACTCCAGTCCAAAGAAACCTCTGGTAGCCTTGTGCAAAGGCTCCCAAAAGTACAAGTGAGTCTTCAGCAAGTGGAGATCCTGGATGATGTTTTCTTGACTTAACCTGGAAGTCCTGGCCCAGTAAAAAGTCAAGGTCAGGCCCGACGAATTAGTTCAGCAGGGCTGCTGGAAGATGAAAAGCCTCAGAAGAGAAGCACCATTCAGAAGTAATGGGGGAAAATGTGAGCAAATGCTGGTGCTGTGCCGCGTTTCTGACAGATGGGCAAGCTGCCTCTGTATCAGCTCCAGCACATGAATGCCGCAGTAACTGGTGTCTGAGCTGTCAGAGTGAAGGGAAGGTGCTCAGTGAGTCACAAAGCATGACCTCTTGAAAGTACACAGGCAGATTCTGCTCAGGGCCAGATCTTTGGAGAAAACCATCTTCACTCTCTTAGGGCATCTTTATAAAATGTTGAGCCAACCTGGGACCTGTTGCCACTTCATACAGCTAACAGGCTGCCTTGATGGCTCATGCACTGTCACATATTTAGATGTTTATATCCAAGACTGAAAATCCTATCAAAGGCAGCCAATGGCTGTTTTGCAGTCCACAGCCTTACCACCAACCAACTAAATGTATTACTGCTTAAAGCAAGGCTTGGGACATAGACAATAGATGGCTGGATAAAGTGTGTCCTTCCAAAGTGGTCTGCTTGGGGTTATATGTAATTCTGTGGTGGAAAGAAAAGGAGATCCTTTTAGGGTTTGCAGGGTATTAGAGACATGCTAGCCCACATTTTGGCTCAGATATAGACCTTGCAAGGTGTTTGCCCAATGAAGGTAGTTTGAACAGAGACTTGAGATGGGTTTTGAAGCTCTCCAATGGAGTTTATCTACTTAGCCTGTGCAGACAGCACAGTGTGAAAGCACACCAAAGCTTTCAATCCTAGCTGGGGAAATGGCCACCTTGATTGTTTCTGACCTGGGAGAAAGTGATGGATGGACTGAGTAACAGATCTGAGGATATGAAGCCCAGTTGTGCTGTGTGGGAAGTTGTGGGTTGCTCATTGAACGTTGGTCTCCTTCCTTCATGCTGTACCTGAAGGCAGACCAGCTCCAGCAGCTCCCGAGGGAGGTCCTCCCTGTGGACTGGCTTTAGGAGCTGAGACAGGTTCTGACTAGATCTTGTGGGGTTTGCTTCTGTCCACCTTTTTCTAGAAAACAAACGAGGAATGTAATTTAATAACTCTAGCATGAGAATACTGTCCCTGAGTATCTCAGACCTTGAAGGCATCCAGGTCCGGAAGGTCTATGTGTGCACTGCCCTGGTAGCCCCATCATGCGCAGGTGAGGTATGTGCTACAGCTCACAATTCGCTGTGCTCCACCAACCACCCTTCAGTTCATGTTACAGATCTTTTACCTAGATTGAAGAGTTGTATGCTTCTGCTTCACCCACTTGCGGGTGGAGGCAGAAGCTTCTGGCAGGGTTGTCTGGTATTTAAACCAGCATTCAATCACTAATTCCAGTAGGCTTTCTCCTGCTGAACCTCAGGTCCAAGGAGGCCATCCAGTCTTGTTCTACCATGGGCCTGCCTAAAAATCAGTTGATGCTATGTTGTTCAGAGAAACCTTCACAGGAGGAGCAAGGTTTGTGGCAAGGGGGAGACAGCACTTCAGCCTGTCCAGAGCTTACCAGAGCTTTTAATTACCTAAAGACTTGAACTTGGGGTTGGGCAAGCAGGAAGGACCAGTCTCTGGGAGCTGTTTCATGGGTGCTGGACATCATCCTTACAGCAGCACAACTTCAGAGAGCTTTGCAGCACAACACAAACACCCACTTGCCACTGTCTTCAAGGCAGTCTTTTGGTCATACATTTTGACAATCTTTTCAGCAGAAGCAAAATGGATTAAAATGGTGAACTTTCAGGGTTTTTCTAAATCGTCCTGTGAAATCGGTCTCCCTAAGTGTCTCTTTCGTTTGATGGTGAATGGTTAAATCAGGACAGCCTCTGCTGCTCCCCACACTGTTGCTGCTCAGCCAGTGGAATGGGGGCAGTTGTTACCTACTGAAAAAGTACAGCATAGGGCTTGAAATAAGTTATTACTCAAGATAATTAACATCAGTAATTGCTTGACTTCACCCCTTGTTCCCCTCTCCCAGAGTGTGATCTTTCCAGATTACAAGTGGTATGTGTTTTCTTAACCACATGTCCTCTCTTATGTCACCTTCTGCTTGCGGGAAAGATTGGGAGAAAAATGCTTTTATTACAAGGTCATATTACAGCACTGATAACTCAACATATTAAAAGTTTTTTCCCCCTGTTCTTGGGGCTCCGAAAGTTTAATAATCACTGGAATCTTGCAACATTTGCTTATTTTTCATCTGTTTTTCTTCTCTAGACTGTGAAAGCACTAAACCACTTAAAAGAAAACTTGAAAATCATTCACAGAGGTGAGTTTGTATCTTTTCTTCTTACCTACAAAAATAATTGCAAGAAATTTAAGTGACCTTTGCTTCAGGTCAAAGTGTAATTAGCATTTGTACTGCTGTGAGTGTGAGTACAGGTTTTGCCCAGGGGTGCCCTTTCGGTCTGTGCTTTTCCATAAAAGTGTCATTTCAGTGTGGTTGGGTGTCTGCCTCTGCCTCCAGGCATGTAGCATCTTTGGGCCTGGCTCCATCTCCCCTTGCTCCCGGTTAGGATCCTCAGCAGCAGCGAGCACATCCACTCGCTGCCTGCCCACCCCACGTCACGGGGTGACGGTGATTGAGCGGCACCGCCGGTGTCGATTCTCTGCAGCTGCTGCTCTTGAAATTTAAACCTCCAGCCATGATTTACTGGCTTATATTTCTTTCCCTTGCAGACATCAAACCTTCCAATATTCTTCTGGACAGAAATGGAAATATTAAACTCTGTGACTTTGGCATTAGTGGACAGCTTGTGGACTCCATTGCCAAAACGCGGGATGCAGGGTGCCGGCCGTACATGGCGGTGAGTGGGGGTGAGCTGGGCAGCGGGGCGCTGACGGGCCCCAGGGCTCTGCAGGATCTTCCCCTGCTGCTGCAGGCCTGGCTCAGCATGGCCAGGCCTGTTGTCTGACTGAAGCGTCAACCATCTTCCCATGGGGTGAGCACCCCCTTCCCAGATGAATCGGAGTTCTGGATCGAGTGCTGCCGCTGGCAGCGTCAGCGGATCCATCCAGGCTGTGGCAAAGTGACCATATTCCATTTTTTTTAGCTGAGTTTCTCTGCTGCTGCCTCTGCTGCGGCACTGGAGCTCAGAGCTTTCCTGTCCCTTCCAGCAGCACCCGCTCACACGCCAAAGCAAACAGCATGTGGGGGAAGGCAGTGCCGTCTGGGTGTTGGGTTTTCTTGGTCTGCAAGAAATCCATTTGCTATGGCAAGATTATGTCACAGGAGCTATTGCAGAGCAGAACTACAGTGATTTTTGCAAACCACTTTAATTTCAAAGTGTGCCATAACTTAATTCCAGGAGAATGTGATTTTGGAGAGCAGCAGTAGCAGAGCAGCTGCATGGAAATCACTCAGGTGGAGCTGTGGCTCCTGGGAGCCTGTCCTGCTTGTTTACTTCCCTCCCCCTCCTAGGGATAAAAGCTATGGTGGTGATTTTTGAAGCTGTCTGAGGATTTTAAACACTTCTCTGCATTGGGCTGCTTTGAAAAAGCCTCTTGGTTTCACATGAGCTGAGAGTGCCTTGTGTGGGGAGCTGTGTGTCTGCTATCTAACTTTAATTTCAATGTCTGTATTTAACTCTCATTACTTATCTTACGGCTTTATATGCTGAAAACCACTGATTTCTGAACTCTTTTCTCTACCACCAAGGAAACAAAAAAGGAAAATCTCTCTTTTTTTTTTTTTTTAAGGTACAGTGCCTATCTGGTCAGGTTATGGCTCTCACATCGTTTTTATCTGACTGTGGTGTCCAAGGCAAAACCTGTCTGCCCCAATCCTGATCTGTGCAAGCACAGAGTCTGAATTTTGGAGCAGTTGACCATTTATTTCCCTTGTCCTCATAGCAGTGTTAGTTACTCAGTGAGCTGGACAGAGTAGTACAGATGAGATCTGTTACTGGAGACCATTGCTGTGGTACAACAAAGTCTGTGCAAGCTCCACTCCCTAATGCGGTGTAACAGGGCAGTTTGTTTAAATAAAGACCTTGTGAGACTGTGGAGAGGGCAGAGGCATGTCTCTGCTCCGAGCACTTTCAGCAAGTGCATGGAGCTCCCCGCAGGGCAGAGGGTCAGTCAGAGCTGCCCGGTTTGTGGTGTTGGTGGGACATGGGGTGCTGAGGGCAGCAGCAGAGAGGTGCCCCAGGAGGGCACAGGAGCCAGTGCAGTCTGAGCTAGTGTGACATGAGGCTGGGTAGTTGCATCTCAGGTTCAGGTGCTTCTGATAACATTGCTCCATGGAGTTATGAATGGATGTTGACTTTTCCTTATTCTTTGAGGTGTGTATCAAGTCTCCAAATAGGGCTCTTGAAAAATTGCTCTCTCCTTTCCTCTTCCCAAGTTCAGTGGGCTATAATTGTAGGAATTGATGTTCCCACTTTTTCTTAGAACAGTGGGTAGATTGTTAGGTTTGCTCAGGCTGTTGGTTTAGTTATGATGTGACAGTTACTGGCATGTCTGTAAATAGCTGCACTGCTTCATTTCCCCTGGGACTTGGGTGGGTGCGTGCTTCCGATAGCCCCTTGGTTTTCCTCCCTGTCTGTGTGTATGCTCTCTGCTCCTTGTGCATCTCCATCACAAGCTCTAGCCTGTTGGGTATTTAACTGAGCAAAAGTGTTTCAATTCAGTTTGTGTTTTTAAGAGCCTTGGCATGGTACACAGTTTGTGGGACGAGCCAGCAGCTGGCAAGCGGTGTGGGAGACGAATGGCCTCTTCCCTTCTGCTCTCTGGACTCAGTGACTCCTCTCCAAGTACATGAAGATTTCCACATACCGAGAAGCCTGGGAAATGGGGAGATCTCCTCAGAATGCAGGCACATACACCAACTCTTTCTCCAAGCCAGCAGAGGCTGATGGCTGTAGTGATGCTGTAATCAAACCTGAGTATACCTGGGAAGGAGTCAGGCCAGCCACACCCCTTTCAAAAGGAAAATACAAATATTTTTTAGTGTAAGATAGGCAAAGGGCATTAGCTGTGTTTAGCTAGGGAGGGCTGATAAGAGCTGCTGGATGATGCCCATTGACAACGAGAGCATGTTGCTTTGTAAGGCCCACTTGACCCATGGCACTTGCAGTAATTCTTGCAGCATGAGCACTGGCCTACTGAAGGAACCTGATAACACTGTGTTCACTGGAGCCGAGTCTCCAAATAGCTGTTGATAACAATAACATTGGATGTCGGCCAGTTTGACTGCGAGCAGTGTGATTAGGCAGCAGGAGCCATGTCCAGCTGCTAAGCAAGTGCTCTGTGGTTTAACCAAAATTGTTAGAGCTGTCACAGAAAGCAGCGTATCAGCCTTTGAGCTGCTAGTGCTGGAGAAGTTGTTCTGCTTTTGGCTTTGAATCGCCCTGCTGTCATTATATTGAAATAAAGGCATATGTGTTGGTGCCTTGTGTTCTTTAAAAGAAAGAAAGACTGAGCTCTGGCGCTGCCCCAGGCAGCAGCCCAGGTACAAAGCAGCCTTCTTGGTGCTCGTGCATGACCTGTGTCCCAGCAAACACACTTCTGCTTGTCCCTGCCTGTGCACAGAGAGAGGGCCAGCACAGGCCCTGTCACTGCAGTCCCACTGCAGACTGGTGCTCAGGATGTTTCCCTCTCCTCATTTCTCCCTAGTGAAGATGGGCAGTCACTGTTGGCATCGGTGTCCAAGGCCAGGTGGAGACTGCATCCCTGTGCTTGCATGGCTCATGCAGAGTTCAGGCCCTGCACAGAAACAGAAAAATTCCCAAGGCTGGTGACAGTGACAGCGCTGAGCCCTGCTTTACTGGCCTCCCTGTGCACATGGAGGGAGAGGCTGCAGGGATGCAGGAGCCCTCCGAATCCTATATCCAAACAAAGCTACATCAAGAGCTTCTGTTTCAGCTTTGCATTCCTGACCCGGTGCCCAGGTTTTCATTGGGCTCAGTCATTCATTTATCTGAACAGGCAGGCCATTGCTTTGAATTCATGCAGCTAAAATCTGTTGGACCTGAATATTGCTGTGTGTTGGACATTTTTTGCTTCCCCCCCCCCCCCCCTTCTGAAACTTGGCACCCAGCCACAATTCTTATGACTGAGAAAACAAATTTGGGAGACATGTGGCACTGTCCCTCTGCAAGCAGCACGGACTGGATCCAGGCTCTGCCGCCTGCAGTGTAGCAAATTCCAGGGGGGATGCCTGAGCTCTGAGCGCAGTCCTCCCCGCTCATGTGCTGCTGGCATCACCCGCATGCTTCAGGGGTTTCGGCTGAGAACATAACCTCCACTTACTCGTTCACCGGCTAAAATTGTCCGTGAGGTTCACCCAGCGTGGGACTTCTCCTGTCCAAACTTGGCTCCTTACATCACGCGGCGCAGAGCCCGTGCCGAGCAGCTCCGCTCCAGTGCTGAGCTCCTGTCTCTGCGTCGGTGCTTCCACCCCCTCCTGCTGAGGACGTGGCGGGACGGGATTTTCCTCCTTGCCCGTTCAGATGCTCATCTGCACAGGCAGTATGTATAAACCTGGGGAAATCTGTTCAGCAGCTGCCTGTGTAAGTGGACAGCTTGGCCAGAAGTACTGTGGGCAAGACGTGAGTTTTGTAGAGGAGAATAATAAAAAGTGTAGGGCAGAGGGAGGACGAAGTAATTTTGGCCGCTAGGATTTACATGAAAAGTGCCTAAAAGTTTGGGAGATAGTTGCCCTTGGGAGTCATTGGATGTTCAGCTGGAAACAGCAGGCTGCTCCTGCTTGCTGTAGGTTTGCTCTGTGTGGGGCACAACTGGCTGTGTTGGGTCAGCCCAGGGTAGCCCCTGCTGCCTTGATTAGCTACAAGAAGGCTAATTGGAAGCCATATCAGAGCTGTGAAGGTGCAGAGTGGGGTGGGCAAGGCTCCTTAGGGCAGGGTCAGGTGCAGGGAGAGGAAGCAAAGGGTTGTGCAGGTCCACAGGGGTGACCCTGGCACCCTCCCTGAGGCTGTTTGGCTCTCACTGCTTGTGCTGGTGAGGCTGGGGGGAGATTCTGCTTCAGGAGGACCCACAGGGATTTGCAAGGGGACTCTCCACCCCTGGGCCAAGCCCTTTCCTACCAAGCACAGGAGTGCCCTGCCCACTTGCCACACGTGCAGCGCAGGCTGGGGGGTGCTGGAGCCGCTTGGCAGCACCAGCCTTCCCTCGTGGGTATGCCGGCACTGACACCTGGATGCAACCAGGTTCAGCCTCCACCTCCTCCATCCATTCCCTGCTGCTGCAGCCTGACCCTTGGCAGTGGAGCAGGCAGGACATACTGCCTTGTTCAGAACCAGGTACTCAGGCATTTGTGGAGTGCAAGATCTCCTGTTTCCCATAACGTGGGAAGGACTGGGGTCAGAACTGGGTCTGAGGTGTGAGGACTCTGCTTTGCAGGTGCAAGTTTTCATGGGTGATGAGGCCAGGACAGCTGATTGAGTGCAGCAGGGGGAAGCCTCTTGATCCTGTGCCCAGACCAACAGCTTCTGGTTGAGTGGAAGAGATCTTTAAGAAAAAGAAACCAGATTTTAAGGCTTGAACTGCTAGTGACTCCAGCCTGGCCAAAGGTGAGCTGCCACATGATGACTCACCTTTGCTGATGACCATCTGCATTTTGTTATGCCTGATTTCTGGTTAGGATGTGTATGACTTCATCTGTAGTTCTTGGTTCCCTTTCTCTTCTGCATCATAGAGTCCTCCAGGATCAGAATTTGGCCCCTTGCACTGCTTCCTGCTATACTCCTTTTCAGTATGTGTTTGAAAGCTTGCCTGTTGGGACAAGCGTTAAAGCTGTGGAAAAATAACTGGGCTCCCTGCAATTTAGTCTTTTGTAACTAACAAC